ATTATACTTCCTTTAACATATTCCTTGTGTATAGCATTTTGCTTATATATCTATTTAGCTTAGCTGCACATGCTCTTGATATACTTTCTTTCCTGCACAATCCCCCCCCCCACTTTGATGTTACTATTTTCAATGTACAGTGAATAAGGGGAAAGGAAATTGTGGAGATATATACATTGCAGGCTGTGTATGTCCTTGTAAAATATTAAGGACTGAATTTCTAATTGTCACTTGGGGAAGAGCAATGACCCACACCCAGTTAAACAGCAATCACATGCACAGTTCATGAGGCCATTAGCACCCTTCTAAGAAGAGACTAGGGAGAGACTGCTTCTTCTCCCTGTTCTCCAGCACATGGGGATATAAAGAGATGATGGCAAAGCAGGAGGCAGGCCCTCCCCGGACACCAGACCTGCAGTCACCTGAACTTCCCAGTCGCTAAAGTTGTGCGAAATAAGAATTTTTGCTTGTATCACCCACTCTAACTTATTACAGAAGCCTGAACTAAGACAGAAATAAGATTTGAAAGATATAAATAAACCTTTCATATAGTCTTAAAGAAAAGTTGAAACTTGTTTTGTTTTTTTGTTCCAAAGTGAAAAACATGCGATGTTTTTCATTGACATCACAACAAAATAAGTGTTTTAAGATGAGTGCATATTCAATTAAGTTCCAAATAGAGGTCAACAAAATGGCCTGTGACCTGGCACTTCCATCCTATCAAGCCAGGGAGGTATATATTAGCTTGTAACACATTTTTCTCTAAGACTGGTCACCTCATGTAGGTAATATCAATATAAGCAGCGATAATTACTACGGGTATACAATGTCCACTAGTTATAAGTCCATTAGTTTCCCACACAGGCAGCAGGAACAAAGGATGATTTTACCTTTGGCAACATTTATCAGCTCTTTCACTTTCAGGATGACTGGGGTTAGGATCCCGGTTTGGTTCACAGAGGTGAGGTAGGTCTCCAGTGCACTTTCAATCACGTTCAGTTCATCTCTCACATACGTAAACATGCAGAACTCAATGATAATGAACTGGGGACACAGCATATGTTTCAAGTTCTCACCTGAGTCCAGCTCAGAATATGAGTAACATACATATCTTGCTTGGGTTTTGAGGTCAAAACTCTCTGAAGTTCAAAACTCAACTCTTAGTAGACTCTGAACATGGGCCATATCAAGATGAATGGGATTGACTTGTTTGGAGACAGGAGTTAAACCAAACTGTTCTTTGCCCTTAGCATGCACAGGCTTAAGGAATTCTTCAAATGTTAATTTGGAGTGAAATGAATGAGTTTGAATAAGGTGTAACTTTGGGGACAATTCTAGTCATATCACACATGGCTCCCTACTTGAATGTTGGCAATAACCAAGTTGGAGAAGGAACTGTTGGCTGTTCACATGAAATGCTTATCCATGCCCTGTCACCCCACCATCACGTCATGATGCTCCTCATCATCATGCCACAGCTATGGCCCTCCTCTAACCATTTTATTCCACCAACTGAATCTTGTTTATCTCTGAAATTGAAGTTTGAATGCTATGTCTTCAATTAGCTTCTCAAATCAAAAATACCACTACACTTCAGAGTCTCTATCCCCTTTCATCTCTCCTCATAGATCAGGGTTTCTCCCAAGCCAAGACTGCTGAGTCAGCTCTCTTCTTTCATCCAGTGCTTGGCATAGGGGTAGCCATTAAAGATTAAAGAGACTCAGGAACTCCATGGGTTACTCACTGTTACTGAGAACTCTAGAAGGTTGTTTTTCCCTTCCTTTGTTTTCCCTTCCCTAGACTACATTCCCCAGCCTCCCTTGAGTGATCTGTGACCACATGACAAGTTCCTGCCAATGGAGGCACCTGGAAGGGATGTGTGCCCTTGCATTTCAGAGCCTCTACATGTAATGCCTTGTTGTTTATTGCATCATGCTCTATGTGTTTACCCCTTCTGGATGCAGAGAGCCAGGGTTCTTAGAGAAGATGAAGATATTTAATGGAAAAATCTGCGGTTTCCCAAGCCTGAACACCCACTCAACATCAGGATGGGAACAGAAATATGTACCATTAATTCCCTAAAAGTTGGGTATTTTTATGTGATACTTCACAAAACCTAAAACATTAACTTAACTTAGAACTTAATCACAAGATTATTTTTACATCATCCTAGCATATTTAAATTGAGCAGAAGGCAATTTGAACTTAACATTTTTTACTTTCCTATTTTGACTCTGCTTTTGATGCAGACAATTACAGTTAGATTGTCCTCGCTTGATACTGGTTCCTCTGGGATTTCTGCTTCATTTTGTGTCCCTAGATCTTTCTGTCTGTCTGTCTACTTTTTGTTTTAGGGGCAATTGTTTACCCTGTGATTTTTCAAGGAACTTGCATATCTAAGAACAGGTTTTTTTCCCCTCAGTTTTTCAGTTTGCTCAGATTTTCACTTCTTGTTAGGATGAAGTGATGCCTTACAAATTCTTTACATGTGGAACTGGAAATCAGAACTGGAAATTCAATTATATTGATTACTGATATTCATTACATGGGTCAGTCCTTGGAGAAAAATGATGAGGGTCAGAACCGCACTACTTTTATTTACATTTTGACCTAGCTTCTTAAGAACAGCTCCTGCCTTACCCCTACCCTGTTTATAAAATAAAAAGCACTGTCTGTGATTTACTTACAAGGTACAGGCAGATAAACGCCAACACAGTGGTTCCAATCATTCTGCTTGGGAACTGAAAACAGGGATCCCATTCATATATCCTGGTTTGGAACCAAGATTTTTTTCTCTCTCTGTAAATGAGTGAATACCAAAAAAGGACAGGTTGTAATTGATTAAAAAATACTTGATTCTTCTGAAAATAACACCATCTGGTAGATTCCCCAGTTTTCATTCTCCCCTTTTCTTAAGTAAAGAGACTCAGTTTTATTTGGTGCAGTAGTTCATCAAAATAAAAAACTATAGCTTGGCCTCTCTGTCAGTTAAGAGTGCCCAAGACTAAGTGTAGGCCAATTAGATGCGACCAGTGGTAAGGTCTGGGACTTTGAGGAGCACGCTCAGGTGGAACCCACATAGCTGAAGGGGACCCCATTGCCTTTCCTTTTCATGTGCCTGTTCTCTGAAAATGCAGACAAGGACAGCAGGTCTAGGCTGGAGCCCAGCATGTATCATGCCGTTTTCATGATGGTTACCATTAAGACCACAGCAGAAAGACAGTAAAACCACCGATGAGCGAAGCCCAGGGTCAGGATGGACACCTCCTTCAGAATTATTTTACATAAGGAAGAAAAAATCTCTCTCTTGTTTATACCACTATTATTTTGTGTTTTCTGACACGTGTAGGCAAATGTAGTTTTAGCCAAAGTACTAGCTTTTCACTGTGTGACTTTAGGTTAGATGTGACCTTTCTCTGGGACATATCCCCTTGCACACAGCAGCAGTGGCAGGGGAGGTAGGCTTACCCTGTATGATGACTGGGATCAGGTGTTTTTACCTGGCCAAGAGCTATGTCTTCTTTTATTGCTGATGGCATCTCAGTATTTCTCCGAAAACTCATTCTTCTCTTCTATTAGGCTGAACAACTTCCTGATTTCAGATGTGAACATGTGACCCAGACTTAATCAATTTATTCCAATCATTTAGCTGCAGGAATTGTTTCTGAGAAGGCAGTGTGGTCCAATATGATCCAATGAAACATATATGTGGGACTTCACTTTGAACAACTACTAAGGAAAATATATCTTCCCTGTGAGCTTACACCAGAAGTACATAAGCTTAGATCCTGGAAGCCAGCATGGCAGAAGAAGCCTGCCTAACTATGAGGCTAGCAGAGCAAAGAGCAAAACTGAGAGGAGATATGGGAAGGATGAGGGATAACTAAGCCCTTGGGTCCATCTGTGTCAGAAACGGGTTACTTCTAGATTTTTACATTATGTAAGAACATCAATTTCATTTTTCTTTAACCTGCTTTAAATCAAGTTTCTGTTATTAGCAAACAAAAGCCCTTGCTCATACAGTGTCCTTCTGGTCCTCTCAGGACCTCTCACTGTCAGGGCTCACCCCTCTGGGGCAAATACTGAGGGTGAGTGAGGGACCCTGTGGCTTACAGCAGGTGGGGTTTCCTCAGTAGCCGCTTGACATGATCCGCCTGGTGTGCTTCCAGGAAAGGCTTGTTTTCCTATAAGAAAAGAGACGTATGCTTTGGCTCACAGATCCTGGTTTGATTTAGGTCCTTTGAAGGGCCAGAGCATTAATGGAGCAGGAACGTGAGTTGTGCTTTTTATAGGCTGAGCAATTCCCAAACACTTGATATTTCTTGAAGAGGGGGCATGGTTCCATCTCCTGTTTACCAAGCACTGGCGGGCAGGAAATGCCAGAGGTAAGCCTTTCCTTGACTCTTCTGCTTACTGATGCACTAGTCATTGTTTTGCAGTCCTTTCCCCCATGAGATCTGGTCATTTCCCATCATAATTCAAAATCTTTGGGGGATGAAAAACCCAAAATGTCAGTGTTTTTATTTTTCACAAATGAATAAAAAATCATTTCTTTAGATCACTGCTCATTTTGCAGGATTTAAAGAAATGAACTTTAGTGATATGTTTTCTCCATGTGTAATAAGCTTTCCCAACAGTATCGATTTTGCTACATAGATTCAAGATGTAAATTGTACACATAAGATGAAATCTTATATATCACAAGATGTGGTTATAATCCTTTCTGGTGAGTGCTGTTGACAAAATGGAGGAACAGGAGATTCCAGCCCCCAAATATCCCCAGATATACCAATTTTAATGACCATCTAGAGACTAGAATACCTTTTGGGGAGTCTTAGAGTCTACTCAAAAGGCTCCAGCACCCCAGTCAAGCAAAAACCTTTAAGATGAATGACTAAGAGGGTAATGAGCAGTCCACCTCAGTGACATTATCCCTCCTCCAAGGAGTCATGGATCAGTACTTAGAGAAACTCGTGGTCTGCCATTTCTCCCACAGAGGACAGTGAAACTAAAAATGTGGAGTTTTTCAATGTAATTAAGCTGAAGTTGTTATTAACTTATCTCAACAGACTAAAATTATAAAATGTTTTACCTAAGCTTCATGGTAATCACAAAGGAAATAATCTATATTATATACACAGAGTGTAAAGGAATCAAAGCACAACACTGCTGTAATTAACATGAGACAAAATAGACTTTCAGTCAGAACTGTCACAATAGACAAAGAAGGTCATTATATGGTGATAAAGGGGCTAATTAATCAAGAGGCTATAACAACTATAAATATATATACACCAAATAGCAGGACAATTAAATATATAAATATCAACAAAGCTAAAGAGTGGAGTAAACAGCTACACAGTAATAGCAGGGAACTTCAATACCACATTTGTAACAAAGGATAGATAATCTAGTCAGAAGATCAATAAGAAGATAACTAACTTGAACAACACTATAGACCAAATGGACCAAATAGAACATTGTAGACATAGACACATAGAGAACGTTATATCTATCTGCAAAATATATATTCTTCCCTAGAGCATATGGAACATTCTCCAGGACAAAGCATATGGTAGGCTACAAAACAAGAGTTAACAAACTTAAGGAGATTGAAATGGCCCGAATCAATATGACCAGAAACAAGTGTCGGTGAGGATGTGGAGAACAGGAAACCCTTGTGCATTATTGCTGGGGCTGTAGACTAGTCCAGCCTATGTAGAAAACAGTATGGATGTTTCAGAAAATATTAAAATCCAGCAATCGGCCCTCCCTGGTGGCGCAGCAGGTTAAAGCACAGCACTAAAATGCTTAATCCACTTCCACATGAGCTTGATTCCCGCCTGCCCCTGAGGAGATCAACATGGCAGGGCAGACCTCTCCTGACCCGCCCGCTGCTCCCCTCAGCAGTGTATTTTGTCGATCTGCCTGTTCTGCTCCCAGCAGTCTCTGGTGAATCCTCTCACTCTCCACATCTCTGGCCTGTGCCCCAGTTCTATATGAATAAATAAATCTTAAAAAAATAAAAAATCAAATAAAACCCAGCAATCTTTCTCCTAGGTATCTACCGCCAAGGGATATATATATATATCTCCCTATATTCACTAAAACACTATTCACAATAGCTAAGCTAAAGTGAGGCTACAGAGGGGGAGGGGAAGGGCTTGAGACCAAAGAGGGGGGAGGCATTTAAAAATGAGAAGGAGGAGCAGGAATGACAGTCTCAAATAAACAGCCTCACTTTAAACATGGAGGAGTTAGGAAAAGAAAAACAATGGTTAAGAGAGCCTCAACAAGGAAACCGGTTGGGTTTCCATTCTGGTGATGCTACAGACTAGCTATAGGACTTGAGGCAACACCACTCACTTCTCTGGGTCCAAGTTCCCTAGTACCAAACGGAAGAACTAGTCATTGTACCTTTCTTGCAGGGCTGCTGTGCAGAATAACCTTTCAGGACACGCGCAGGCTTACACTTAGGACTCACCATCTGGTGCTCCCAGCCCAGGTGGACCCGCAGAGACTTGGCAAACATGTGCATGAAGCGGACCAGCAGGAAGGCCAGGCACAGGAGGGAAGGCCAGTAGAATACAACCGTCTCATACTTGCCCACAAACTGCAACGGAAGCAGACCACAGGGCACCAGCTCTAGGCGGGGCAGGGACAGGCCCTGCTGAAGCAGTGGACAGGAATCTGCTTTCTCAGACTGCCCTCACCCAGATCTACTCTGAGCGCGGAGGACAGATATCCACAGATCTTATAAACTGTGACTGAACCAGGTGGGTAGGTCTGTACACACCAGCACATTTCCCAGGCTGGTTCAACCGAAACTTCTGTGCCACTGCTGTATAATTATACTTCAATTTAAGAATCAAACTTCGTTTAAACTCTATGCCACTAGGGGCCTCCCTGGTGGCACAAGGGGTTAAAGCACAGCACTATGAAGCTATCCATGGAGTTCGAGCCCTGGCCAGGGAGCTGACCCACATGGCATAGCAGATCTCTCCTGTCTCCCCCACTGCTCCCCTCAGCAGTGTCTTTCAGTACATCTGCCTGTTCTGCTCCCCACTCTGTCTGTGGTGAATACTCTCGCCTCCTGGACCTCTGGCCTATACCCCAGTTCTTGTGTGCATATATAAATAAATCTTAAAAAAAAAAAAAAGACTCTACTCAATTACTTGAAAATTTAGACTCTTTGCAATGTTTCATTTTTATAAATAGTGTTTCCATGAATATATCTGAAAACACGATACTAAATCTTTATTATGACCCTGAACTGGATTCCAAACACCATGATTTTTCACAAGAAGAGTCATGTAGGTTCTTAAGCCTCGCTTTCTTGTCAGTGAACTGGGAATGATGCTAACACTCTGTCTGCAAGTGTCTTGAAGATTTGGGAGTTAATTGGGGGGAGGGGTAGAATCTAGAAAAACACTTAGCACATAGCTGTTCTTGAGGCTGCCTTCTCAAATCCCTGCCTTCTCCCTCAATTAACTATCAAGGCTTCCAATTCAAAGGAAACTTTGGAAATCTGTGAGGTTGTACAAGGCTACCAAAAAAAAAAATTACTTGTGATCTGGACTCTCAGGTCCTGTGAGCGGTCAGAAGAAGGGTGTCTGTGGGGGAAGAGGTCCCTCAGAATGCTCTCCGTCCTAGTTCAGCAATGTGAGGGGAAGGCCGACCTCCAAGCCTCACTTCCCAACCCACCCCCCACCCCCACTCTCCTTATCACACGCTTTAATCCTCCACAGTAACAGGACCTTGGGAAGGCTCTGTGTGCTATTATGGGCTGGCCAGCTTGAGTGCCCCCTGCACCTAGTAACACCCCTAGGTAGAGTGGGATACCCCTCTTCCATCTTGTCCCTTTTCCTGGAGTGCTGGGATACAATTCCAAGGAGGGCGATGCATGGCAAAGCTAGAAGGGGATCATCTAGTTTGAATCTCCCATTTATAGACAGGAAAAATGAGGTAACATGGAGGAGGAGAAAGTAATGAGCCTTGGAGTCAGCCAGATCAGATCTCAACACCCAAATCTGCTACTTCTTAAGAGTTCCTTAACATATTTGGGCCTCAGTTTCCTCACCTGTAAAATGTAACATGCTGAGAGTCCTTACCTTGAGGGACTGCTGTTAGCATCGAGAGAGCATCATTTTATGAATGAATATATGTCCCTGGTTACAAATTATCCATAAACATCCATTCAATTGCTGCATAATAGTACATAATTTAAAGACGCAAACTGTTCTTAAAATTAAAACTCCCATTTCCTGTCTATAAATGGGCCGTTCAAACATAGGTCCCTTCTTACAAATGAGGACGCTGAGGCCCAAGAGAGTGGCAGTGGCTTGCCCAGGGTCACACAGCAAGCTGGCCAGGTGATGCAACTGAATACCCTAAACACAGCTCAGTAGGGACTCACCTGCCCATCAGGACAATGTGTAATGTGAAGGACGGTGACAACAAGCCTGCAGGACAAGAACAAGGCTTAGGGCAGTGTGGTCCCTCCCAGTCCCGTCCAGAGAAAATAACCCGGATTCAGATTCCACCAGCCTGGAGTTACTTTTCCCCTCCCCAGATTCCTCTCAGGCCTCCGTGTGCACCCCACTCAGGTCAAGCACCAAAGTAGGCACACGATTTTCCTTCAATAAGCCCTCCTGTGCACATTAATTCCACAGTCCACATCAATAGAGCAAGAAGACCCTTGGAGACTTCCTCCTCCCCTCTTCCCCCCCCCCCATGTCAGGAGATGGACGTCCAGAGAGGGGAAGGGCCAGGACCCAGGTCTCCGGACTCTTTCTCCTGGGACACGGTCTTGTTTTGTCAGCACTTCCCTGAGGACTGGCTGGGGCATTGGCCCTGCTGAACACACATCCAGGCCATGTTCCAGGCTGTACCCCTATGGTGCTGAAGCTGCTGGGCACTTCTCACCACCACCCTTTCCTCTCGTGGCCAAACATCTCTCAGAGGCCATCTCCAACCAGTCTGACTCCCTCTCTTTTAAAGTTTTAAAACCACATCACTTGTCAAGTTTGGATTTTAGTCAATGGTGTGTTAGTTTGTTGTGAGCACCTGTACATGGGCCAGAGGACACTGCCTTCTAGAAAATTCTGTAGGGGAGAAGTCAGCCTAGCAAAGAGCATTCAGTATAGCCCAGGAAATGAGCTTTGAGGCTGGACTATAGGAATGTTGATGGGGTTATTCAGTCAGCAAATATTCCCCAGGGCTAGCCGAAGGATGGAATTCAGCAGGAAGGTCAAGGCTCTGCCAGGGTGTGATGATGCATGAAGGATAAACATGTGCACATCTAACACCAGACCAAAAGGGCAAAGCTGATCTGCACGGGGAACAGCAGGTTACAAAGAGGTCAGTACATGGGACCATGGGGCTCTGTCTTATTTTCCAGAATATTCCCTCACTCATAGTGGGGATGTAACTGCATGTTTGCTGAATAAATATGTCTTGTATAATTAGGGGTGTGTGCTAGAGACTGTTAGGAGCAGAGAGACAGGGCGAGGCCAGACTGGTGTGAAGGACCTGAACACCACGTTGAAGCGGCAAGGACTTTGTTCTAGGCACAGGTGGTTTACAGAAATGAATTTCTCTATATCCCTGACTTCTAATCAGGAGCCGGCTCATGTGAAGGAGACAGAAGGCTGACCTGGCCTTCTGAAGCCTCAAGTGCAGTCCCAAAGAGGGGGAACTTGGGACTGCCCAGGATGTCAGTCCTGGCCTTTGTCCAGTCAAAGAAGGACAGGCAGACAAAGTCATCTTACCAGATCAGAGTGTAGCTGAAGCCGAGGATGGAGCTGACCAGCTGGAACTCCGAAGAGAGGCAGGCAAAAAAGGGAAAGTGGGACAGGCCCACTTCGATACCTCCGATGAGCAGTACAAAGGCTGGAGAGACAGGATCGGAGACGTGGTGAGTCCTTCTCATGGGCTCAGGAGCCCCAAGGAAGCACTGGGCTTCAGACTGACTTGCAGGCATGATCCCAGGACCCGAGGAAACACAGCCCCCGCTCAGCACAAGGAGGAAGTCAAAAATGTCTTTCATTCATTTCTGCAACAGAACCCTCCTGGCACCTTCCATGCCAGACTGGCTAACTATTAAGAAGAAGATTGTGGCCTTTTATCTGCTTACAGATTGCACAAATCACTGAGATAAAGCACTACCAGTATACATAGCAACACAAAAAAGCAGGGATATACTGTGTGCAAAAACTCTTTCACATTATCATGTATTTTAAATACAGGAAAATGATAACATTTGTTTTGTCACTGACTGGCTCTGAGGTGGCCTACCAGGATCCAGCAAGGTGACCTTTACTAAGAGTCTGCATTGAGCTAGGTCCTGGAACAGACACTAAAGACACAAAGGGAATGAACAAGTCTCTTGCTTTGAGATGCTTGTACTTCAATAAGGAGGACTGGGAGGAAAGAAGATGGTGTGACATGTGCAGGCATATTTAACCTACTCTGGGGACAAGAGGAAGTCAGATCTCATCAGGGATCTGGGTATGAAGGAAGACTTCCTGGAGGTGGTGACTTTCAGCAAGGCCATGCAATATAAAAAACAACATGCTTCACTCAAAGGAGACAACTGGCTAGGGGACTGGCAGGAAAGGACAGTGGAAAAGAAATAGTTGCTGTGAGGATAGAAGAACTGAGAGCATCACTCTTAAATTTACCTGCATTTCCCCTGCCTTAAAAGCATACAGAACAACAAAAATAGCAAGTCCAATAACCCTACATCTACAACAAATTTGGGTGACAAGGCCTATCTGAAGCCTTCTCAAATGGCTTCAATGTCAAATTCAGAATAAAGAAGTCTGAAGGCTTGAGAACTGAAGAACCCAGAACCCAGAACTGTCCATGAAATTAAAGTAAAAAGAATAATGGGAACTGGACAAGGTACTAACAGCTGACTCTTAGGTGAGAATAAGCAGACTTTAGTAAGGGCCTCAGATGGTGGCGCTTTAGGGAAATGTGAACACACTTTACTAAATACCTCAGTTCCCTCCAAGGCCAGCTCTCCACACAGAGCAGATGCTCGGTAATTAACATCCAAACTGAGAAGGGTAGGAACTTAGGAGCTGGCAGATCATGGGTCTAGATAAAAGTGGAGGGAAGGGCCTTCCCTGGTGGTGCAGCAGGTTAAAGCACAGCACTGAGAAGCTAAAGCCACTTCAGCAAGAGTTCGATCCCCGCCCACCCCAAAGGTGACCCACATGGGGCGGCAGGCCTCTGTCTCACCGCTGCTCCCCTCAGCAGTATACCTCATCAGTCGGCCTGTTCTGCTCCCCACTCTGTCTCTGGTGAAGCCTCTCACCGCCCCACACCTCTGGCCTGTACCCCAGTTCTGTATGCACAAATAAATAAATCTTAAAAAAAAAAAAAGTGAAGGGAAGAGGCCAAATGAGAAAACATGAGGTCGTAAGCAAGGCACACAAATACAATCACTTTGGGAAAACAGAAGAAGTGACTCTAGCAATGTGAAGTAAGAAATGATTCTGGCTCGTCAAAAGCTCAACATCATTAGTCTTTAGGGAAACTCAAATCGAGACAATCATTAGATGCCACTTCTTACCCACTAAGATTAATGTGACAAAAAGGAAAAGTGTTGACCAAGATGTGGAGAAATTGAAACCTTTGTGCACGGCAGATCAATGAAACCAAATACAGTCCGAAAACAGACTTGTACACATGTGGCCAGTTGATTTCTACAAAGGTGCAAAGGCAATTTAGTGGGCAAAGGACAGGTTTTGTAATAACTAGTGCTGGAACAAATGGAATGGATATCCAAAGTTTAAAAAAAAAAAAGGAACTGGCCCTCCCTGGTGGCGCAGCGGGTTAAAGCACTGCACTGAGAAACTAAAGCCACTTCCTCATGAGTTCGATTCCCGCCTGCCCCGGAGGTGACCACATGGCGTGGCAGACCTCTCCTGACCGGCCCGCTGCTCCCCTCAGCAGTGTACTTGTCGATCTGCCTGTTCTGCTACCCGCTCTGTGTGTGGTGAATCCTCTCACCCTCCGCATCTCTGGCCTGTACCCCAGTTCTGTATGAATAAATAAATAAATCTTTAAAAAAAAAAAAAGGAACTTCACTCTATATCTCTATATGCAAGTTTAAAATATATCATAGGTCTAAAGTCTATACAAGGCTTTAGGAAAACAGTAGAAAATCTACATAACCTTAAATTAGGCAGATTTCTTACTTTACACAAGTTTATTCCATAAAAGAGAAAATATGTTAGATTTTATCAAAATTTTAAATTTCAGCTCTTTAGAAGAAACTGTTGATGAAATGAAAATTAGGGTAAAATTTTATAATATATACATCTGATTAAAAAATGTATATATAGCTCCTATAATGAACTCCTACAACTTAATAAGAAAACATCAAAGAAACTCACGTTTTTAAAAGTAGGTACATGATTTGAAGAAGACATTTCACCATAAAAGGCAAAGAAATAATTATCTCATGAAGATATACTCAACATTATAAGAATGTAATTACAATGCAAAACTTGCATTACAAGCATGCAAAATAAACCACAATGAGATACCACTATACACCTCTTAGAATGACTAAAATTCAAAAGCCTAATAATGTCAAGGACAAATGATAGTAGTCTAAAATGGAACAATGACTTTGGAAAAGTCTGACACATTGTTTACAAGTATGATCTGTTATAGGTCTACAACATGATCCAGTTATTACATGATTCAGTCCCAAGAAAAATGAAAATGTAAGTACATACAAAGACTTACAATGTTCACAGCACCTTTTTTTTTTTGTAATAACCAAAAGCTAAAAGTAAATCAAATGTCCATTGACAGGTGAATGGATAAGCAAATTGTGGTAGATTTTAGTGGAATAGTACTCAGCAATCAAAAATAATACATTCTAAACATGTATGAACCACAAACTAATTGCTGTGTGAGAGAAAACAGGCTCCCCAAAAGAACAATGATTATTTCATTTATATAATTCATGGGAGCAGTTATGGAAAGAATAGATTATAAGAGGGAACAAGCTCACTTCTAGGGTTCATTATCGTGATTGTGGTGACTTTATAAATATAAACATTTATCAGAACATCAAACTGTATACTTCTAAGAGGTGTCTGGTGGTGGTCCTTTTGGTTTTAACTTGCATTTCCCTAAAAACTAATGAGATGTTTGCAGCATTTGATCATAAAGGATTGCAGTCCCTAAGAGAGAACTGAACTGGACAGAGAGGTTTGAGAATTGCTGTATTAGTGACGGTTGAACCTGTACAACAGAGTTGCTCCTTCAGGAGAGAACATGAGGTGTGGGGAAAGAAAAATGCTTCAGATCAATCACCAAAGAAGTAAGCATTGGTCCTGAAGGAAGTATATTAGGACTTCTTGATTTTAAGAATAGTATAGTTAAAGTCTGTCTGTAACTAAGCAAACTTTTGGGGTAGGTCATGTTTGGGGTAGGTCTTTGTTCTGCTCTGAATCTGACTAGGAAAATGGCCCCACAAACTTTGAGATTTTATGAGCTAGACATTCACCTTGGGCAAATATCAAGCTGGGAAGAATACTGGCAGGTCACAAAGCAGATCCCTTAGTCCTAGAGCACCCTGGCGATCTGGCTTCTAAGGGCAAGAATTCCCATGATGGCACCCCCATGTACCTTTGGCCCACTGTGGGACCTGCAGGGGCTCGTAGCCTTCTGAGAACAAAAACATGACCTTATTGGCTGTGGCCCCAAAGGCAATTCCATAGGACCATCGGTTACTAAACGTGCCCACGAAGTCCAGAGGTCTGTGAACAAGAAAAACAACTCATGAAGGTGACTCATTCCTAAGTTTATCTTCATTGACCCCACACTGGGTAGTGAAATGTTCATTTCAAATGCCATTTCCCGAGGCTCTCTGTTCCAATCTGGGGCTAGGCACTGGACTGAGGAGCCCTTGAGGAGCGCCAAGTCTAAGGGGACACACAAAGACAACAGTAAGATGGACTAAGGCATGGGCAGAATGGCCCTAGAGACCAAAACAAGAGGTCTGCTCCCACAGTTTCGGGGGCGCCTCATCCGCACCCGCTGTCATCTATGAGAGATCGTCTTTCCCACAACCGGGAGGAGGCCTGGGCGGCACTGGCTGGGCTGGTTCCATATGATCCTGCCTCCCTGGCCACAGCTGACAGGATTCCAGGGGCTGCTGACTCTGGATTAATTTATCAGATGCCTCGTCTTGTATTTTGGATTTATGACACTGAGATGTGAGCCAGTTAGCTGTCAAAATTATTTATTGGAAAGTCATGCCAAGTTGGCATCAGAGTGAGTGCTAGAGGCAGCTGAGGTTTTAGAAAAGCAGAGAGCCTAAGTCTCATGATAAAGTCAGATGGCAGAGAGGAGAATCCCCAAGGGAACCCCGGGGACACAGAGAAAAACAGAGAAAGAAACAGTCTTCTAGAGACGTCCAAGTCAAGAGCGCCCATTCCCACTTCACTTTCTGTGAAACCTCAGTAACTTAAAAAAAAAAAAATCCTTTCTTATTCTTTTGTAAATAAACTTGTATGGATATTTGTTCTTGGAATGTGAGTTTGCTCTTCCCTGATATGTAAACAATAATCTCCTCCATGCTTGGTTCACAGGAGGGTTCACCCAAAGCAAATGCTTCAGTGCTTAGGTCATAGTCAGTGTACAATAAATATCAATATTAATGAATTTATTTTATCGTTGATGTTGATTTATTGTATGTTGTTTTCCTCTGATGTGGACAGAGAGATGAAAGAACACAAGGAAAAATGTGGGAAGGTAGAGCAGCTAAGAATAGCAGCGACAGAAAGACCCTGACAGTTCCCTGGCCCAGTGGCCTGTCCTGGGGCATTATGGTGCCATCCCAACAAGACTAAGGGCTGTCCCTGGAGACAGGAAATATTCCCCCTCCTGCTTCCTGAGGTAGCCGTAGTGCTGAGTGTGGAAAGGCCTTTCCCAGAGTTTGAGCTGATTGAAAAACATTTGTGCAGCCCTGGTGATGAGGTGAGGGTGCAGTGGCTTGGCAGCTAATTCAGAACTGCCTGAGATTTGACTGGGACAAGGAGAGGCAGGTTGTTCATGGTGAGGTAGAGGCATAAAGGGGCTAACTGGGAGTTATCCTGGTCTTACAATTGAAGTTGGCCCCAATCACAGAGTATCCGCAACTGTAGTGATTGTCCTTTGCTCAACTCACATGATGATTCCAAAGTGGCTCCCCAGGAGGCAAGAAGTGTCATCTCTCTGTCTATGGCTCTCTCGTTTTTGGAGAAAGGACAAGACCAAGATGATGAAGAACTATTAAAAAAGAAGATGAAAACATCAGTGGAAATATCTGGGTACCCACACTGGGAGCTAGCGTACAGGTGAGCAGAGGACTCAGACTGTTTATGACTCACCAAACTCCAAAATCAGGGAGCTATTTGAATTCACCCTTCAGATTCCAAAATGTTCTATATCGAACTTTCTTTTATGTTGCTCCAACAGACATGGGTTCAAATCTAGTTTCTTCCCCACACTGACTAGGAGGAGGACTTAACTTCTCTGAATCTGTTTCACCTCAAGTTACAATTTATTTTTTGCTTTTCTCTGTGGAGTCAGACTCAGCCTCCTTGAGACTACACTTGCTGTCTCCATTTCCTTACTTCTCACTCACTCTTCAACCTCCTACACTGGTTTCTACCCTGTCATGCCACAGAAAGAGTTCTGGTTACTAATTACTCACTGCTCAACCCTATTTAAACTTTAAACTCAAATCTGCTTTCATCTTTCAGCAGGATTCCATGGTGGTGACCCCTTTCTCTTCTTGGGAACCTGGAGGCTTCTTTCATCCGTTAATCATGCTTTTCTGGTTTTCCTCCATTCCTTCTGGGCCACCTTTGCTGGATCACTCTTTATGAAAGCACTAGATCTAGAGTTCCTCATAGTTCAGCTCAAGACGCATCCTTCTGATTCCCAGATCCTCTCTTCCTCAGTGATCTTATGCAGGCTCAAGCTTTCAATAGTCAATCCACAGAAGACTCACACACTTGACTCTCCAGCCCAGACCATGAGCCCCGAACTGTTTATCCAATGACATAGTTGGCATTTCCTTTTCATGTTTTGAAGTTTCCTTAAATTCAGCACGTCCTAGGTGGGACTCATGATTTTGTTCCCTGCCCTTTCCCTTCATCCACTTCAAACCTGGATCTCTTCTAACTTTCCTTAACTAGTGAACAGCACACACTACCATCCTTCCTTTTTGAGCAGCAAGTAATTAGCAACCAGAACTGTTTCTGTGGAGTGATGAGGTACAGCCAGGGTAGGAGGTTGAAGAGAAAGTGAGAAGTAAGGAAATGGAAGGATGAAGTGGAAATGCAAATGAGAAACTCAAGTAGTCAACCTTAACCTCTCCCTCTCCATAACTTCTACCCAACACAGTGCAAATCCTATATTTTTTTACCTCCTGAACATTTCAAGTTGACCACCATGATCTAGGATGAGCTAAGTCCCCTCTCACCTGGACGCCTCCACAACCATCTCTTAACAGGTTCTTCTTTCTGCCCGCCTCCAACCTGATCACATTACAACTAGAATGATTGCTTCAAACCAAACATGACCATGCTGGAGACACACCGATTATACCACAGTACTTAACATGAAGACAAAAGATCACACAGAGCCCTACAGGACTCTGCCTGGCCTGGTCCTGCCTCACCTCCCCAGACACCTCCACCTCCAAATCCCCCCTCCAGCTACGACTGGTCTTCTCGTTTGCTCACACTCTTTCTCCCTCTCTCCACAGAGACCTAGTGTGTGCTTTCTGCTATGTCTGAAATGCTCATCTTCCAGCAGACATCAGCTCCATCACTGCTTCCTCAGAAAAACGTTTGCATTACCCCAAAAGAGACCCTAACTCTTCTGCCTGTGTTTCTGGTACATGATATAAGAAAACAAGTTGAGCCTAGAAGGGTGCTCAGTTGATTTCTTTCCCCTGACCCACGCAAGCTCCGCAGGAGTCTGTATATAGGAGGACTCCAGCTCCTCTCCTCTCCCCTCAGGGCCCTCCCCTGCCTCTACTTACTGATGGGATTAGGGAGTAATGGAGGAAAAGCTCCATGTCCACCAAGCTGTCACAGGTGGCATTTAGTGGCCTGATCCTGAAAAAGCCAAACACATTGACATCATCAGTCACTGCAGCGGTCACTGCCCCTTTTGCCTTGAGTATCACTATCAGGGGTCTGGCTGTGGCCACTAAGATCACAGGATCTTCTTAGACTTTGCTTTCTCAGCACCAGTGCTGCTCACCTGAGATGTGATTTCCTAAAACGGATTCAGCTCCTTCTACGTTTCTTTCTCCAGCCTGGTTATTTATAAAACTGCCCTGTACCTGGAACTAATTCCTTTCTTTCTTGAAGACACAGTCAAGGGCAGATTCAGGTTCTACAAGGTCCAAAGCCTATCTAATTTAGGTGTCCTTTTCAAATAGCTATCAAAAAATCTTACTTTTTAATTCCTTAAGGGAAACGTGATCATGTAGCCAAATTCTCTCCCTGCCTCCCCAAGCTTTGGGAGAGGCTTACGCAAGCAAGCATCCCTGAGATGTACGCTTCATTAACTGCACCGGTGGTCAGCCTTGAGACGTGGGTTCTAGAACTGGAGGTCAAGACATACCAGCTGGCTCCTGATCCGCTGATGGGACAGAATAGGCATTATCTGGACTACAGACTATGGGTTTTGTCTTCCCCGGGCCATATCGACCATCACAAGTCACCCAGCTCTGCTGCTAAGTGCCACAGCTCCTCAGACTTGGGGGATCGGGGATCTCAGTCTGGTCATTTGTGAATTGAGAGGGCTGGATTGCTTGGGACTTAGCCATGCTTTGGAAATCTTTTCCTGGGTCTCTCTCTCCCCCCAGGATGGAGAACTCCCAGGAGGCAAGGCATTTCTTTTTGTCTCCATGTGCTCAGCTCCTGGCCCAAATGTGCAAAAGCCAGGACTCACGAATGCTTTGTAAAGGGGCAGCTGGAGAGCCAAGGCTCCTCAAGAGCCTGCTGTGCCCCAGCTAGCGCTCAAGGTCATCCTTCTACAAAGTCCACGGTCCAGCAGTATTAAGAGACACAGGAGCCACTGAACCAGGGACACAGACCTTCTGGGTGCTATTAACTGCCTAGAGAGACAGGCAGGTTGGAAATGGCACTGCCCATCAGGAGCAGAGAAGCTGAAGGATGGACCCCTGGCCAAGCTATGGTCCCTGAGGTACCAAACCATGCTTTACAGTTTATAAAGCATTCTCATGCTGCACCCTAGGAAGACAGACAGAGGCTGTCCCTTGTCCAGAGGACTCCATCAGAGGGACTACCTTTGAGTTTGAGGATGAGAGGCCAGGTATTAATTGACCTTCCTGTCTGGCCTATCTTTCTCCCATTTTCTCTGTTTCTTTGTCTGCAAGCCTAGGTCCTGTTTAGTCTCCCCTGCCTTAACCTTACCCTTTCATTTTGAGTTTTGGTCAGCTCCACATAGACACCTCCTTTGACTATATGGATAGAAGTATTTTCACATGTGTCTGAAAAAAGAGAAAGTGCATGAAAATCTAGTGCTGGAAGAGAAGACAAGAGTCTGTTTTATTTATTTACTTATTATTTTTTACTCTTTATCATTCTTAAAACAAGGGATAAGGATGGGGGCAAGCAATTATAATACAGTAAAAATGAAAAATAATGAACTATAAACCAGAGACATTTTATGGGGGTGGAGAGGAGAACAGGATCAAAACTGGGGCAGGAATTTAATTAATGAACGAAAAAGAGAGCGAGGTAGAAAAATAAAAAACAAACCAACAATTCCTTTTCACATACTAAAATAGCCGTAACAATAGCTACGGCTTATTGAATAGTCCATCTGCTGGACAGGACTAAGGTGTTTACAGTTACTCTCCCACTTAATCCTGCACGGCCCACGCACACAGGCTGTGAGCCCCACCTCACGGATGTGAAAGCCGACTGTCACCAGGGAGAGCACAGCATGTGAATAGGACTCTTCTTACACTTCCTAAACAGGAAATGTTACTGCTGCATACTAAAATCTCATTAAGGTATTGATAAAGGTTCCCTATCTGGGGCCTGTAGAGGGGCAGTGACACTCTCATGGTCAGACAAATCTGAGCCGCATGCTCAGGCCTGAACCCTGTCTTATGAAAAGGGCCCTGGCCGGCCAGCCCATATGCGAGGAGATGGCCACAATGGAGAGAAGCTCCTGGCAGGGGTGCGTGGAGGCCTGTGGGCGCCATGACAATGATTTCAAGAATGTCAGGGGCCAGGCCCTCCCTGGTGGTGCAATTTAAAGAGTAGCACAGCAAAGCTGGCTGCAGCCACTTAGGTGCAAGTTCTATCCCCCACCTCCAGGTGACCCTCATGGCGCTGCAGACCTCTCCTGACCCGCCCGCTGCTCCCCTCAGCAGTGTACTTCATCCATCTACCTGTTCTGCTCCCCACTTAGGTGAATCCTCTAAGTGCCCCCAAACCTCTAGCTTGTACCCCAGTTCTGTATGCATAAATAAATCTTAAGAAAAGAATGTCAGGGGCCCCGAGGGCACACCCAGCACCACAGGGTGGGTCCAGTCCAGAGCTATCTGAATCCAGATTGCAATCGCCCTGCCCCCTGGCCCTCTCTTCTTGAATGCCCTACGGCACTCCAGTCAATATGCCCCAGCATAAGGCTCCGGTCAGCCTGCCCTCCTCCAGGGTCTACTTCTCAACAAGGGCCCCACCAGTGACCCATTCATCCAAGCCAGAAACCCTCAACTCCTTCCTCTCCAAGTCCCCCCAGACATACCAGATGCAGTCAGCTGGACCTCTCCAACCCCTGCTGAATCCAGATTCGTCTCATTCCCGCAGCCACCTTTCCGAGGCCACTGCCATCTCCTCCTGGACTTCACAATCCACAGTGGCCCCTGCCTCCAGCATTGTCCCCTCCAGTCCGTTCTCCACCCTGACACAGAGGGGCCTTCTCACAAGTCCACAGCTGGCCTCACCTTCCTCCTGTTCCTCCTTAGGCGTTCTCTCCCAGCCCCAGGAGCCGGCTGGGGAGAGGGCAGAAAGAGCTGAATTCTCTCAGGCTTTCTAGTCCTGTCCTCTCGCCCAGCTGACTCTCCCACTATGACAGTTTCCTGTCACATGCCACACTGCATTCTGCTCTCCCTCCCTCCCATACCTGGAATTCCAGGATCTCTTGCTCCAAGTGACTGTCATTATGCCTGTCTCCACATGTGTTCTGTTCTCTTTCTCATTTTTCACTGCATTCCTCAACAATCTAAACATCGAGTAGGTCCCCAGAAAGAGATAGTTCTATTTTTGTTACAGTTTGGAATAAGTTCTGGGATCATTAAGATTACATAGTTTAAGTTAAAATTATTAAGTGAGAATTCTTCATTCCTGACATATGTGCAAGACTTGATGTATGTCAAAGTCCTTTCATGTTTCCTGTTCTCATTTTATCTTCATTTTATCTTCATACAGGTTAGGTAGGACAGGGCTTATTACCTGGTTAGGAGATGAAGAAACGGGTTTAAGATTGACAGAAACCACAGGTCCAGGATTCAAGCCTGAGGCCTCTGACACCACATGAAGGCTCATCCTAATATGCCTTGTGAGTCCAAGCTGACCATCCACAGGCATCTGTTCACTGCACTAAGAACCAATCCCTGGCTATCCCTGCCATGTCAGCTTGTCTACAAATTAACTAAACTCTGCCTTTCCCCCAATTTCCATTGACCACCAATATCAAAGATAACAGGTACCAGGAACACGTGGCTGTGGCTAGGACTGGTCTCAAGCCTGACTTAAGACTTACCTTGTGCTGCTGGAAAGCATGTTGGTGGAGAAGCTTGGCTTGCAGCCCTGGGGAGCAGTGAGCCTCTCGGGCTTGTTCTTTGCTTCTCTTGCCTCTTGGTTATGACAGCCTCTGATATCCTGGTGTTCTGCCCAGATCTCTTCACAATCCCCAAAACGTCAGAGAGAAGGAAAACATCCAGTCAAATATTTACCAGAGTAATGAAAGCCAGCAAGTCTCTTCCTTGTTTCCCTGCTAGCTATTCTTGGGCTCTTCCTCTCCTTCTCATGCCACCACAACAGGAAATTCCCTTCTGCTCCCTGGCTCTTGGGTTCTTGCTATCTCCTTTTAGGCCCAACCGTGGGCACTGGCCTCTTGAGCTGCCAGAACGTTGCTAAGTCGTTGCAAAATTTATTATGGGCAATAAACTAGGACTCTGTGTCAAGGCAGTAAACTAGGGAGCCAGGACCACTGGCTTTGGGATTCTCCTGGGAAACAAGACCACCCATTTGCTGGGGGCGTGGGTCTAGAGATAAGTTCAAACCTGAACCCCACCTTTGTGGCAGAATCAGCTGGCTGCTCAAAGGAATTCCTATTCCCATAAAGTGAGGCAGGTGCTGGCAGGGGTCTCCTCAGTCAGGGGCCAAGTTCCCCAGCCCCCTGGCTTTCAGGGGGAAACATGGGGCCAGATATCAGTAACGGGACATGAGCAGAAATGATGTGAGTTACTACTGGACCAAGACACTTAAGAAGCAAGCGTGTATTTTCTACTTTTCTTGGCTGGACTTAAAAGGCCCTAAAGGAGGTGGGATCCCAAGATGGAAGGAGTCTGGGTCCCCAAATTACCATGTGGATGAAGCTGCCCTCTACCCCAACTATCCTGTCACACATGGGCCTGAGAGCCAGAAACAAAGTCCTATGATGTGTAGCCCTTGGGGGTCACAGAGGCTAGTGTTGACAAATCTGTACAGATCATGTGGTCCAAGTTCTTGATTTTAAGAAGAAAGCAGAGAGTTAAGGGAGGCAAGTGCCCAAGCCTCCATGCCCACAGAACTGTGCCAGGGGTCCAAGCCATCACCTGGTACCATGTGACTGTGTACCCCAGACCACTGCTGACTGGACCAGGGCTGGATGTTGGCCCCAAGAGCAGCCAGTCACCAACTATACAATTTGTTATGTGTGATGGGTACTCTGCCCTGCAGATCACCTGTCTTAGGAGTCTCACTATGAAGCAGGCCAAGAGCTAAGCGCTTGCTTGTGGACTGAGAGGCAGATGGTATGACTTGTCCCGAAAGATGCAGGGATCTAAGGGCTGGTGGCATCCTGGCTGGAGCAGTGAACAGGCAGCTCAGCTGACAGACGAAGGCCCTTGGCGCGAGCCGCCTACCCAGAGCACCTCACCGCCTACCCAGTGCTCACCACCCCATTCGTGTCCATTAGGCTTCAAGCGTAAGATCTGCCAGCATGTGTCCCTGGCCACCCCTGCACATCTCACTTCCCTCAGTTTGGCCCACGCCCATCCTGTGGCAGATGTTTCACCCTTTATTTGCTCACTTAATGCACACTGATGGGAGCAGTCTGAGCCGTGGCCCAGTATATGGTTTTTGTACATTTATTGGCTGTGCAACTTTGGGTAAGTTGCAGTATTAACCTCTCTGATCCTTGGTTTTATCTGCAATAAGCCTCCTTCACGGATCTGCTAACGTGGGGGTAGAAATGAGTCAGTACACAGCTTGGAGGGTGCCTGGGCCTTGCACAGTGTGGAGCACACAGGCAGATCACAGCTAGCTGGGTCCCAGCCCCAGCTCCCCGCTTCGATCCTAATGGCTTAGAAGCGTTGCTAGATCTGATACCCAGCATCTGGGATCTAGGGGAGGCCCCAGGAATGCTTGCTCTTGAAGATGAAAATGATGAAGGAAAAACAAAAAAAGACAGACACATGAAGATCAGGAGTAACACAACTCTCAGTGCCTAGAAACAAGGAAGCCCCGAGGGTGGCTTTATTCCAGAACCAGGCAAGTTCCTTCCCTGGAAGAAGCCGTGCCACGTGGTTCAGAGAACAGAATGCAAACTTTCTCTTTCCCGGCACATGGTCTTGCTCTTTCTTCCAGAAGGGCCCACCTGCAGGGGCCTCCCTGACTCCACTGCCTGGCTGCAAATGGGCGTTTTAAATGCTTGGGTTATCGGGGTGGTTTTATTCACAATTGTACAATTCTCCTCGTGTCATTAAAGAAGAATCACGATTGAACTGCCACCCGCTGCCGTGGGGAGGTTGGCAAGGCAGCCACCCTAAGGTGGGAAGAAACCTGAGAGGCTTATTCTAAAGTGCATAAGCTAAACATCAAAACATCTAAACATCACAAGGACCCCTTTTTAGTGACTCCATGATGCAGACATGGCCTGTCTCAAACCTGGCGGCAAACCTCTGTGTGAGATTTCATTTTCCCTCTCGCAGGCTTCCTCCCTTGAGTGCTCAATCCAGCCACAGAACTTGACAGGTAGCTGTAGAACACGTCAACATTCAGTTTCTCACTGCCGTTCTCAGCCCTTTCCAGTATTGATTCTTCTATCCAGTCCACACACTTCCATTTTGGAGCTCCAGGGGCATTTGAATACTTGAGTTCACCCAAGTTCTTGATAAAAACACAGAACAGTACAGAATCCTCTAGCACCCCCTGGAGACCTCTTTCCAGGAGCCTGGGTCAGTGCTGCAGTTGTGAGAGGGTCAGGACAGCTGGCCAAGCCAAAACCCAGTTAGGAAGGGCTACTGGGTCTCAGCCCTGTATTTAGCAGGGTCCGGAGCTCCTGCTAACATGACACAAGGAAATTCATCTGTGTGTCTCCACCACTACATTTGTTTTCCCAGGTGCTGGGAACTTATCACTGGGCTGGCTTATTCTACAGTTTCTTTGTTACATTTAGAAACAAAAGAGCCTGTATAGCTTGATGATTTAGTGCGATTTCTTCATTAAGCAATACTGATGGATTTATGAGGTGGATATGACCACTGACTAGAGACAACTTTTCTCTCTGAAAACACAATAAAACTTAAATTGCCTTCTTGGTCACAAACAGGCCTGGCTCCCCCTGCTGGCAGGACAAGGGCATACTCAGCTAGGCATTCCCAGACCTTTGCAACCTGGCTCCACTTCATCTTGGAGGAGATCCAACTCTCCGTCAACCTCCAGGAGATCTGGAATAAACTCTCAGTGCCACCAGCCCCTTCCTCCCTCCCCATTCTCCCACCCCTTCCTCATTCAGTTATGTCACAAATATTTACAAAGCACCTGCAATGCCGGGAAGCATGCTAGTCCTGAGGCTCAGTGTTGTAGGGACAGAGCTTGCGTCTCTTCGCAGGCAGGGAAGTGCAAGGTCCTGCCTCAAGCACAGTGTTCCTCCCTGCAGAGGATTTTAGTGCTTGTAGCTTATCACGAAGGGATGCAGAGAATAAGCGAAGAGATCGCTACCCCAGAAGAAAGACTGGGACAAACAAAACTGCTGGAGAGAGCTGAACAAAGCAGACAAGAGTTGCAGAGCAGAACCTGCAAGGGCCATTTCTCAAGCACCATGAGACCACCCCTGCCCAGGAAAAGGAGCTCTGGGCTGGGGCATGGTGGGCCTGGGGACTCACCCAGCTCTGCCTGAAGGGCCATTTGACATCGAGCAAGGCCCTCCCTGCCCTGGGCTGAGGCTACCTGCTCTGTGAAGAGAGAATGTCAGAGGTGGTCTCTAGCACCTTCTCTGTCGCTCATTCTCTCCTACCTGACTGAGCTCAACTTTCTCTTCTGCAAAGCCTTCCTCACCCCCCTCGCCAAGCCCATCCTTTCAGACAGATTCAAGCCTCTGAGGATTCAGTGACAATCTGTCTGCATTTCTCTTTTCTTCTCCTGGCCAAGAGCACCCTGTCCTGGCACTTGTGCTCATTTAAATTGTTAGGAAACATGCCAAACAAGTAAATGAGGAACAATATCATTTCTGGAGCTGTAAGTCAAGGCATCCAATTGCACAGGTGGCCTCAACACAAATCTTGCATTTTGGGGGAAGCCATCCCAGGGGGGAGAGACTCCAAGGGGAAAGAACTTTCCACAGACATCCTCATTCTGTCTTGGTGGGCAGGTGTGGCCACTTCCCACCCACCATGAGTGTGTCAGTCTGTCAGATGTCAGTGCAGCCAGAGCTATGTGGCCAAGCATGGATTCCACCACTGCCAAGCTTCTCAACTGCGTGGGTGCGTGGATAAGGAGTGAACTGGTCCCCACAGATGCCTTGGGGCAGGTCTTCTCTGCCTCCACACCCCCAGCAGCACTGCGCGGGCTGAGCTTGCCCTGGCTCCCGGCCCTGAGTCCTCCCTGGCTGCATGCTTCCGGCACACCGACCCTCTGCCTGTGTCCCTCTCTGCCCTCCAGGCAATACCCACTGGCTGCTGCTGAAAACTCGGTGCAGGAAGAACCTTTTCCAGAATGTCTCATTGACTCTTTCCTCGTGGCACTTTTCTGTAGTAGTTTATTACATGGAAATAGCTTCCACCCTCCTTGTCAGGCAGGTCACCTTTGAGCACAGAGCACCTGGCTGACTCACCTGTCACTCTGCACACGCCTGGCACGCAGGAGTAGGTTCTCTGAAAACCCACCTCATGAAGAATGAATCTGCAAATCAACAAATTGAGGATATGAGGTGGCAAGGTGAACTGGGAGTCATCCAGTCCCCAAAGAGGGGAGACATCTGAGACTTAATCATCCCTGCTTAGCATCTGAAATTCCAGCATTGCAGAGTTTCTCATCTTGTTACGGTCTCCCTCTTTGCAATACTGATATCTGTCCCCCTAAAACTCCCAGCCTCCCTTCATGGGGCTTGCCTCTAGAAACCCATCTCGGTCTGAGGCACGGAGGCCACATCCCTGTGCCCTTGGCCTGGAAGATGCCCTCTGTGCATAACTGTACTGTTTGGCTTATGATTCAGGTCCCAAGCCCTCTGCTCACCTTAGCGCCTCTCCCCCTCTGCACAGGGAGCTCTGAGTGGGCAGGCCCTCTGTGGTCAGAGCAGAACAGTGTGGATAGGGAGGTTCACGCCCACTTCACCTGGGGTGTTTGCCAGCCTCTTCTGTAAGTAGAGGAGGCAGAAATTCACACCACGGGAGTTCATGCAAGTCAAGGGAGGTGCTTAATCTCCCACCCCAATGGGAGAATTCAGCCCCACATTTTCCCATAATCCTATGTTGACTGCAGGTGTTGCCCACAATGTTAATTGGCTCTCTGGGAATCAGAGTTCACTGCATTAGGAACTTACAGGCAATTTTTATAAAGGAAATGGACGCCAATCACCTTCAAAGCATTGGAATGTTTGCTCTACCTTGGCATGATAGCTGGGTACTGGAGTCTTCTGTTTTAGTTGTCAAAAGTCAGGCTCACATAATGCCCTGCCTACCACCTAAAAGCCATGTGGATCATCTGTACCTGTGACCATGGTTGCCTAGTCACAGATACAGATAAACACATTAAACCAATAATGTTTGGTTACTGTCCCCTCACTGTGTGCATAAAAAGCAGGTAAACCATTTATCTGCTAGTCATACCACAGCGAGGCGGCTCACTGTAAGAGACTAAAAGTTCCTCTCACCTGATACCTGATGCTTTGATCCTCCCCAATCTCCTTGCTTACACTTATTCTTGAACTCCTCTGCGAGTCTGCTAATCCTAAGTGGCCTATCCAGCCTCCATCTTGTTACCTACAGTTCTGTATTCCTAAAGCCAGGTCAGAACTGCCTGATCATAGGAGCCCAACCCTACGAGGTACCTTTCAAATCAAATAAGAACATAAAGCTGGATCACCCTGGGAAGGCTGTGCATAAGGAGGTATGACCGGGAACCCCTGGGGGGCTAAGGGCAGATGCATAAACTTAGTCCTGATTTATACATCACAAGGTATGACCGGGAATGCCCTAGGGGCTATTGACTGATGTATAACAAAGGAACCCAGAAGCAGATCAGTGGAAGGCCTTGTTGATAAGATTGAAATCCTGACTGGGGAGTCAGGGCTTGACCAATGATACCAAGCTATCAACAGATAAGAAGTACAGTTCCACCCTTCCCCTGCTTCTTCTACTTTTCTGCTTCCCCATATCACTTAGGAATAAAAAGACCAGGATCTTGCTCTCCAGCAGCATTCTGCATTATGTAGCCTGCTCCACGACTCCCGGGTCTTTATCAGTGTGGTGTTGGCCAATGTAGCTCTCCTCCACTAACAGGAAGCTCACTATCTCTCTAGCAGTCCATTCTCTCTTTGGATAGCCATAACCATTTGAAAAGTTTGAAGTTGTTAGGAAAAACATGACTGAAAAGCATATGTTTATCTCATTTCCAAGTTCTGCTTTGTTCATTTAACACTCAGA